TGTGCCCCTAGGCTGCCTCTGGCCTGCTGCCCTGAGCGCCTCCTGTTTACCCCCTGCTCCCTCCCGGGCAGGGCTAGGCCCCTGTCCCTCGGTACCCACCACTGTCTCAGCCTCCCTGGCCCCTGAGGCCAGTCTTCTCGGGCCTGGCACGTGCACGCCTCTGGCCAGCAGTCAGGAGGGCACCCCACCCAGAGACCCTTCCCATTCAGCCCCTGGCTCTTTCTGGGGCCCCAACCCTGAGAATTTCCCTCACCTCCACCGCAGGGCTTGGAGCACAGGGACCACTTCTTTAGGGCCCACTCGTAGCCTGTGGAGTCATCTTCCAGGACCTGGTTGTCATCCACATTGAGCGAATCCTCATGGATCATGTACTTGTACGTCAGTGAGATCCGGGAGTCGCCCTGAGGGATTACCTGTGCCCGCATACCACCATAGAACCAGTTTAGAAAGTTCGGCTTGGCACACTTACAGCCCAGCCGCGTTATTTGTGTTTGTTACATTCTAGAAAGCCCCCAGTACTGAGCCACTGCTCACAAGGATCAAAGTTAGGGTCCTGTGAGGCTACGGTCACGACATTTTTGTCAGCTGTCAGTAGGTAACCTTATTTTATGCACCTTTGTGTTTAAAGACACCTCACTTAATATATGTTGTTAACTCCCCGCCAGCTGAGCCCAGCTGGTGCCCTGGAACTCAGGCCTAAAGGAGCGCGCTGTGCTGCACCGACTCCACGGGTGCCTACAGCGCCTCGCTCCTGGCAACAGCACACAGCACTCCAGCGTCTTTCCTGGGGCCATTTTAAACAGTGAACCCCTTATAGTGCAAAAATGTGAAACATGTGCAGTAAATACACTGTGAAAAGGACACTTATTAACAGGAGGAGCTAAAACAAGAAGCAGGGTGTCACCTCACTCCACCTCAGCAGGGACAAGAGTGTCAGGGCGACACATTTTCCACTGCTCTGTACTTGTCTGCAAGTGACTGAGCAAATCACTTCGAATATTGATTTGGGGATTACAGATCCGTTTCAGCAAGTAGGCAAATTTACTGGTGCAGACTCTGCAGGTACAGAGGCCCACCTGCATGTGTGCTGGCAGGCAGGTCACCCACCACACCTGGGGGCACAGTCCCTGCAGGCAAAGCGAGGGTGTGTGGGCCCAAGATGGCCTGCGGGGGCCTGGGGTCCTATGGCACACCACAGTGGGCTCCCCTTGGCCTTATCTGTAGCATTTTGATTTTTTTTACAGGTAAAATATGTAACTTATGCAATTACAATTAATTTTTAAAAAGTGATTTGAAAATAAAGTCCCCTCTGTACTCCCATAACCAGGAGCAGCCTGTGGTCTTGAAGTCAGGAGCCCTGGGGTCCAGTCCTGCTCAGGGAAAAAGTCCAGTGTGACCTGGGTCTGGCAGCCTAATGTCCTGAGCCCTGTCTGTCACTCCCAGGGTGTGGCAGGGTTTGGGTTTGATGGCAGATGTGAAGGAGCACGATGAAAGTTGGCTGTAAATGTCACTCAGCAGGCAAACCAAACTTTTACAGGGGAGAGTTCGTTTAAGGTCCCCCAGGGAGCAATGCAGGGTCAGAGCCCCACCGGCAGCTCCATGTCTGTCCCTTGCTCTCACACACAAATGGAGATCCCTGGTCCAAAGGACAGGTCAGAGGTCCATCGCAAGCATGGCTCCGTCCCTCACCCTGTGGCCAGTGGGCCCCTGGCCGGGGGACTTACGAGCACAGCAATGGAGCCTCGGAGGGGGCCCATGGTCTGCAGCGTCTCCCGGCCATCTTCATCCCGATATTCCCACTCTACACCCATGGCGATGAACGATTTGGAATTGGGATCGATGTTGTTTTCCTCGTTTAAAATGAGCTTGCCGGTCTCCAGGTTCTTGATGGCTGAAAATGGCAAAAAGGAGCCCCCACTGTGATCCCCAGGGGGAGACTCAGACACACGGTTGGGGGGGCACTGGTGGGGTGTACTGGTTTGGGCAGTGGCAGGGACTGTCCCTGCCACGGACAGCCCACATCACCCGAGAGCCAGACCTGCCCTCTGCTACTCAGCCAGAACTGGTGCCTTCCTGCTAGGCCCAGGGTCCTTTCCCAGTTCTCGCCCCCATAGGCCCTGGGGGTGCAGGGGCTCTGCTCAGATGTAGTTCAACAGCTATCAAGGCCACCCCCCTGCAGTCCCCTGGAGCACTCCACAAGCACTCAGACAGGGCCGGGGTGGGGGTTTCCTGCCATGGGGTGAGCACATGTGCAACTGAGAATCAGCGTCTCCCCCATCCGTCCAGTGGCCCAGCCTGGCCCCCCTAAGTCCCCCCACCCCTGAAGAGACTTGGCCTGATGGGGGTCACTCAAGCTTCTGGGCACCCTCTAAGAATGTCTAGGAGAGCCCGTGCTCCCTGTAGTGTGGGAGGAGGCACTGCGGAGCTGCTGGGTGATCTGAGGGGGTCACAGACAGGCACAAGGCTCCTTGAACTCCCTTTGTGCGTTGTGAAGTGAGCCTCAGAAGGCACCCCAAATCCTCAGCTGGCACCAGCCCTCTCTCCTCTCCTGCGGCCTGGGGACTATAGCCAGACATCTTTATTTTTTCCCCAGTAATCAACTCTTATATTTGCCTTCTGTTTAAGGCAAGTGCTACTGGTTTTGTGTTTTGGGTAGCCATATAGGGTTTCTTTTTATAATAAGGAAAAAAGAAAATGAGTGTTAAAGTGGTCTCTGCTATGTGTCAGCAGCGATGCTAGATGGGGAGATCCTGCCCCACCTGGACCTCCACTGGACAAGGAAGAAGGTGGGGCCCAACCTGGGGGAGGCACATGTCCAGGATGCAGTCCCCGCAGGGGCCCTTTGTGTCACTCTTGGGCCCCTTGAATACCTAAGAGGTTGGGCCTAGGTGCCTTTGAGGGGAGGGGTGGGGATAGGTGGAGTCCCTGCAAGGGGTCCTGGCAGGGGCTGCCACGTGGTGAGGGGCACCCAGATTGTTAGAACATCTGACATTTCAAAAATGACCAGAAATCTCTACTGAAGATAGAATCTCAGGAATTTAAAATTACACTAATTGAAAACATGCAAATACACTGTAGGAGGCCATCCTCCCACCCACCTCCAGCCCTCTGGTTGGTGTGTGGGTGGCTACCCAGGCCTGGGCTGTTTGCAGACCTGCCTGCGTTCCAGTGGGGAGGAGGCAGTCCCCTCAGCCTTGACATGGGGAGCCCTCATTCTGTGGGCCAGGGTGTGTGACATGCGGCCCTCCACAGCTGCTGCCAGGGACCCTCTGATCCAAATGCGCAGCCTCTTCACTGGGAAGTGAGCCCAGGAAAGGTCCATGACAGTGTGGGGCTGAGCCAGGGACAGGGAGAGGCCCAGTCGGGCTTCTGATCCCCGGGATTCTGTGCACCCCCAAGGGACAGGGCTGTGGCTCTGCCAAGCTCATGGGCTCTGAGACTCACCCAGGTGGTGACCGGTCGTATCTGCCTCCTGGATGAGCAGGTGTCTGGCTCCTGCCGGGATCTCGAACATCTTCACGTAGCCTTTGTAGGGTGAGAGGAGGGGGTCGCTGGGTGTAGGGGACAGGTGCCCTCGGCAGGCCCCTGTCCTCAAACAGATATCTGAGAACACCACGCGTGCCTCTATCCTAGCTTCCTCCACCCTGATCTCTCACCTGGCCCCCACACTCCCTGTCCCCAACCCAGCCTGGGGCCTGGATCAGGTTGTCCTGGCTTAGTTTCTCCCACCACTTCACCCTTCCAGATCCCTGTCCCCATACCCAGAACAGTCAGGAACCCAGACAGAGCCCCAAGGATAAATCTGGCCCACATCCACCCACTGGGTGCTGTGGACATTCAGGCCACAGGACCTGAGGGAGAGCTCACTCACCCAGCTTCTTAGGTGTGCGTGTGAACATGCCCTTGACCACTTTGCAGTGGGTGTTGTCCCCTCCACACACGCCGCACTTGTCCTCCTGCTTGCTGGAGCCAATCACCCCGTCACAGCCCACTTTCTGCGGGGGAGGGGGTTGCAGTGTCCACTGAGCCCCGCCCCCTGCCCTGGACTCTGGCCTGACTATGCCCCAGGACATTAGCACCTGTCCCCCCAGGTATCCCCTCTTAGCAGTTCCCAGTGCGGAGGAGGGGGGCGGAGATGGCTTTGGGGCCAGACGAACCCCTGTGCCCTCCTGAGGAACACCCACTTCCCTGAGCCCATTCCCTCCTCTGGACAGTGTGCCTTCAGGGAGATCTGCACAGCCTGAATGGAGCTGCATCCTCAGACTATCTTGGCTTGTAAAGCTGGCCTCAAAGCGAATGTTTCTGTCCCAAGAGCTGTAACTCAGACCTGGCCTCTGTCCCTTGCCCTAGGGCCTCCCAGCGCAGCCCTGGCCAGGGCCCACCAGGGCTCCAACCCACAGCTTAGGCCTGGATGCCCCAGCCTTCACATTGCCCTCAGAAACACAACGTCCTCTTTAGTGGGTCTTTGGTCTTCGGGTGTCTAGACAGGAGGTGACAAGAGTTGGGACAAACACTTTTGCCTTCATTCTCTCAACAAATACCCTCAGCTCAGCCCACTCTGGTGGCAAAAATTACTCCACATGAGTGGGGACATTCCTTTGCCCAAGGCCACCTGGTGGAGGCAGTAATAAGTTCAGGTTCTTTTACTCTCTAATCCCTGAAAATACGCCATTCCTGGAACCACAGACGCTCAAAAGGGAGCAGTCCTTGCATGTTGAAGGCCAAAATGCACGCCTACAGCTCTCCTCCCTCAGCAGGAAAATGACCTTCCCTGAGCTGATCTGCCACCTCCTTGTCCTCGAGTGTGCCATGGCATTGCATATTTCCCTTTCTGCCCTGGCAGCCAGGAAGCTCAGAGCCACCCTTTACCTCCTTTGGGGAGACCCTTGTCCTCTCCCTTTGTTCTTTGATTTCTGACTTTGGTCTTACTAGAACCTTTTGGTGCTGTGATTTGGCTTGTCTTGCCATGACTGAGAATGTCTTCTCATGGCATGGTGCAGAAGGATTCCAGAGAAGCCCACCCAGGACCACCTTTTGGACCCAGAGCTTTGCCAGGGACAAGCAGAGGCCCACTGTGACCCACTGGCTCCTCTCTTTGCATCAGGTGGACTTGGGTGAGTTTTATTCGGAATTCTGGACCTACCTGTCTTAAAGTAAGAGGCTGACTTGACTGACTTTGAGCTGGTATTTTTTTTTTTCAAATCCTCAAGGTAAAGCTAAAGGTCAAGATAAGTAAGGACAAAAGACAAAAATGGGTGACTGGTTTTAAACTTTGGCTTTTCGATTGGAATTGCTTTCTGAAGGTCTGAACAAAACCTTTTGCTGGATAAATGAGAACCTGAGCTTGTTTGGCTCCAAAAATAAGGGGCACTTCCTCCCTCCTGCTTGAATCTCCGTGGAGGAGCCAGGGGGTAGCCTGCACGATGTGCCCTGTGGGGAATTCCAACTGAACTGTATATTAAATAATTGACTCTTCGGGGATGAGCACATAAAAGTTGCTTACCTAGCACTTAGAGCCCTCAGGCTGTATTAGACAGCCGGCGAGAGACACCGAGACCCGTACGAGGGTTTGAGACGACTGGGGAGGTCAACTCACAAGCAACACACTTCAACCCACTACACAACATCCCTGGAAATTTGTTCAGACTCTACAGATCTCAAAGTAAACTAAAATCAACATGGGAAATTGTACCTCCAAGGCCAAGAACTCCCAGACTCCACTCCCTATCAGTAACTGCTGCAGACACACAATAAATAGGAAGCCTATACTTGGAAGTACTTATAGAAAAGGAAAGCTTTAATTAGAAGTGATATCAACTTAAGATGGTTAAACTGTAGCTCTTTTGATGCTTAAATTATTATTTTTTTTGCATTCAAAACTAGAAAAAGCCAGCTCTAGAATTAAACTTCATTGGGAATGAGTAACTTTGAGGGGGAAGCACAGGCAAACTGCACTCAGACTAGAAAACCAGAAAGGCCAGTCTTGGGCAGAGGGGAACCAGCGACTGAGTGCATTCCTTGGACTAGGACAGAATTAAGGAAGCTACCTAAAGGTTTCCCCCCATTCTCTCCAGAACCCTTACAGGTTCACAAAGAACTATAACTGAACTGTTAGACCAGGAGATCCTGGCCATTCTGACCTATTCCAATGAATATAGCTACTGGTTTCTGGGAGAAAAACAACAGACTTACCAAATAGGGTCTGCTGGGAAACTCCTGCAGAGGAAACCAGGCTACCTTGAGAAGGTTAAAGACTGACCTGGCATTTAGGGAGAGAAGCAACAGCAGCAAGCACAGGGCTGCTCCGAGGACTGTGAAGGGCATTCATTCTTACTCAGTGTAGAAGCGATTGAGGTCATCATGAGAGGGAAAGCCACTAGGGCCCTTGTAGATATCGGGGCCATTTTATCTGTCCTAAACCTGGTCCAAGGATGGCTTCAGGCCCAGAAAAGTAGCAAAGCCAGGGAATTGATGCCACAGCTGAGCCCAGGACAAGGGCACTGACTAATGACCTGTGCCCTAGAGCTGACCCATCAAAGGAGACCATGACCCTGAAAGAATGCATCTGGAAAGCTGATTAATATTCTATTGGGATCCTCCCCAAGACCTCCGGTAAATGTCCTCCAATTGGAGGACACAGTGCTGCTCCCCCTATCCCCGCCCCCAGCACCACATGGGCATGGCACCTTTACCCGTCTCTCCCCTGAGATCCAAGGGCCCCTTCTTTTGCCTCTTTTACTTGTTTCCTGAGTCCCTTTCTTCTGCTCAGTTCTTCTACCTTGGTGACTTTCTAAATAAACTTTCTCTTATAGTTTGAGTCTTAGCTCTGAATTCTTTCCCAGCCAGAGCTCAAGTGCCGAGGTTGCTGAGACAAGGTCTGGTCTGACCCTACTGGTCTAACACCTGGTGTGGTCTTTGCCACCACCCACACTTTGAAGGCAGGGGCTCTAGGTCCCATGAAGGGACTACAGAACAGCGGCCCATCAATCATTTCTGAATGTGTGGTAGAAGGTAACAAACTTTGGTTTTATTGATCTGCAAGCCTTTTGAATCATCCTTGGAAGTGAGCAGGGTGAAAAATAATCAATAAAATGAACAAGTTTATTTTTATTTTAATGATTTCTGATGAAAAAATTAGCAAAACAAGGGTGGGGACATGATAAACTGGGGGTAAAATTGGTCTTTTAAGACATAGAAGTCCGAGCTGAAAGCATTAAACCTGCCACTTCCCGACATGTGTGCAGCATGGAGTCACAGCAGCCCACCCTGTCCCTCTCAGGGACACCGCAGGATGAGAGGAGGTGGCCCTGCAGACACTCATATGCTGCCTGGCCCAGAGCCTGGCCTCAGTGAAGGATGCAGGGGATGCTGAGGGGATGATGGAGAGGAGGAGGAGGGCTGGGGGAAACCCCCTTTCAGGCCAGGACAGTGGTGATACTGTGACTTATAATAAATAAGGAATCAGTGAAATCAGGAATTCATCTATTTCTAGCACAGAGCTCCTAAAATGCTAGGAATTTCCTGTGTGAAGAGCTGCACAAGTGTCTTTTGTTATGCTAATGGAGCGACTTTTGGCCTCTCCTTAGGATGGGGGCTGGTTGCCAAGAGAACCCATCATAGGATGCGGGGAAGGAAGTTTCAGTCCCACCCCCTGGCCTCCTCGGAGGGGCTGGAGGTTGGACCAATCACTGAGGGCCGGGCTGATGATTTAATCAACCATGCTATAAAATAGAATAAATAGAGCTGTGTTAAGGTGGAGCTGGAGCCGCCACTCCACAGGAATGGCCTTGTACATCTTATGCCTCCAAACTTTGGGATGTTAAAATGGCAGAATAACCTTTGGAGGGGCTTAAGCAACATTTTGCCCCAAAGACCTGTTGCAAAGCTAACAAGAAAGCAGGTATTAGGATAACTGGACTGATCACTATTGGACTGAAAGTGAAAACATTGTTTAGAATTAGTGTCACTGTTATGATGTTTGCATCAATAGAAATGCCTTCCTTCTACTGATGTCATTGTTCCCCTTCCCTTTCCTTTTGCATCCTACATGGACCACTAGTTGGGTTTCTGTCTAAATCAGTGATTCGAGAATAGCCATCATTTGATACTTGTGGCCTCTAAGTTTGAAAGGCCTTTACTTTTTAGGTTAGCAACCTGGCATTGCAAACAGGATCTAACGTGGCCTCACCCTCATGATCTGTCGGCCCCGAGACTGGGTACCATACCTGCAGAGCCTCTTTTGTGCTCACTGCTTCCATGGACCGCTGTCTCATTGACTGTGAAGTCCTCTTAGGTTCAGACCTCCTCCTTTTTTTTGGTTGAGGTCAATTCCCTTTCTCTGAGAGAAAAAGGGGTTTTTCGTTCAAGGTGATAGGGGACTCAAGACTTGGAAAATTTTAGCTTAAGGTAAAAAGTTATAAGTCTAGTGAGTAATATGTATGTTAAAGCTTGTGTTTTGGAAACTACAGATAAGTCCCGTCCTGGCTCCTGGAGGCATCCGGGCCTCTGTGTTCCAGGGAGAGACAGAGGACCACCCGCCCTTGGGAACAGCTAATTGCCCAGGACAAGAATGTTGCAGCTTCTATCACCTAATCCCCCCCTGATTCTCAAAGCTCTCACTGCATCTTGTTTATTCCCTGGTATAAAAAGTCTGGCCTGGAAAGAGAAGACAAGATGGTCCATTAGGGTGTGAACCCACCATCTTCTCGGATCGCCATCCATCTGAATAAAGTGCCTGTAAAAGATTCAGTCGCTGTCATTGCTTATTTGGTTTGGTAGTGACAGGCAGCCCGAACGTTGGTGTCTTTTCCAGTTACAAAGGGAGGGGGGTGACTGCCCCAGTGCTGGCAGGTGGTGTGATGTCTCCGACCAAAAGGGTGCTATTTCCTGAAAGGTGGATACCCGTTTAATTGTGCTCCTTTGTTTCCTTTTCTTGTCTCTGTTGTTTGTCTTAAGTACTCCACAAAGGGAGAGGGATCCGAACCACTCTGAGACAATGCAATGCACTCTTTGCTTAATAACCAAAAGTGTTTAAAAGAAAAAATAACTTCTAAATTAATCCTAAAAGAATTTCTTATTGTTTGTCTTGTCTGAAACCTGACAAGACATTTAAAAGAATCTAATAACTCTATGATCATTAACTTGGCAAAGTTAAAAGTCTAATAAGATTTTTTTGAAGTCCTCTCAGTAATTCCAAAGTCTTCACACACGTATCAGAAATGTAAACATAGCCCACAACTGCCTGAGACTAACCAAACCAAAGGGAAAAACAGTGGGACAGAGAGCTTTTCAAAGCACAAGGAGCTAAACGGGCTCCCACCCCTCCTCAAACATTGTTTATCAAGGCCAAATACAAATCTGAAAGGTTTAGCCATTTGAATGAACAAACTAACTTATTTTATTATAAATTAATGAAGTTTGCTGTACCTGTCTCATGGTTAAAATTGTTTTTTAAGTAAAATGATCCGATCTCTGGTTGTGTCTGCCTATATATGTGTATGTAGAGGAAATTAACAAAATTGGTTTATATGAAAAGTTCTGTTTAATTGGCTTAAAGAACTTACATAAATTAAGAAATATAACAAACACAAAGGTTTTCAAGATCACATGACCTGGGAAAAGATTTAATGTCAAAATTGATTTAAGTTTGTTGGTTTAATTAAAACAGCCATGTTATTAAAGTTAGCAACACCTAATATATTTTTATTTTATCTGCCTTTACAAAAAAATAAGTTCATGCTATCTCTGTTACAGGGTTTGTCAACAGGAAAACAGTTTGGGATAATAATTAACTTTGTCTAATGTCTCATAAAATTTTTGAGTAATCTAAATATAATTACAGAAATTTAATAAATAGCTGTAAATGAAACAAAAGGTTGTTGGTGAAACTTTTCAATAATTGTTTTATGTTAGATGTACTTAAAAGTAGTTTCATAAAATCTTTGGGTAACTTGAAGCCCTGGATTTCTACTGAGTTAAGTTAAAGGATGACAACAGAAGCCCTGGCTGGCATAGCTCAGTGGATTGAGTGCGGGCTGCCAACCAAAGCGTCACAGGTTTGATTCCCAGTCAGGGCACATGTCTAGATTGCAGGCCACGGCCCCCAGCAACCACCACATTGATGTTTCTCTCTCTCTCTTTCTCCCTCCTTTCCCTCTCTAAAAATAAATAAATAAATAAAATCTTTTTTTAAAAAAAGGATGACAATGGGAGTGGCCCTGTCCTTGGCCTTTCCCTGCCTTTCCCTGTGGTGCCTGTGGGCCACCCTGCTCTCCTGGACCCTGAGCAGCATGCCTACAACGCAGTCACAGAGTTCTGGCAGAGAGATTTGAAGGTGATGTGCAAACTGCCAATCAATTGAGATCAGGTTAGGTGACGTGGGAATAGGTGATGACCCAGTTCCCCTACAAAGCATTGACGCAGCAACCTTAGGAAAGGTCACTCAGGGGTGCAGGGATGATTGGCCTCCTCCTCCTGAAGATGACAAGGACACAGAGGAGTGAACAGATGATTCTGGGTATGGGACCCAGAATTCCTGAAAGTTGACCAAAGAACACTTTTTAAACTTATTCTGGCTGCAAACTAGTTAGGCATCAAAGGTTTGCCTGATGTTACATGCAAGACTGTTGCCAGTGTGATCAAGGGGAAAATAAAGAGATTCATAAGAACTTCAATATCAAAAATGACTTTACTGAAACCCTGGCTGGGTGGCTCAGTTGGTTGGGGTGTTGTCCGGTACACCGGAAAGTTGCAGGTTGGATCCCTGGTCAGGGCACATACGTAGGTTGTGGGTTTGATCCCTGGTGGGTGTATGTATGGGACACAGCTGATGGATGTTTCTTCCTCTCTCTAAAATCAATAAACATAGCCTCAGGTGAGGGAAAAATGACTTTACTGAAGAAGAGGAAGACCAGGTATGAAAAGGGAACCTAGGGTGAGAAGAGAAGTGAGACATTGTGCCCGACACTGTGACACCCTAAGGGCTGTTCCAAACACTAGTTGCACTGCTCTGCTTATAATTGTTAACATCAGACAAACAGCAGACAAATGCAGAGCAAGTGCATTGTGTTGGCAGGACAGTGTCCTCATTGCATGTGCAGTCTGGGCACAGATTCCACCCCTATGGCTGAATCTACCCCAGTCTGATCAAGTTTCTTTGCTCTTTGCTCTGAACAGCACTGAATTGTGGGTCTCTATAGCAGGTGGCATTTGGGGCTTTCTCTCTTTTTGTCAAGTGACTTCTGCCCAGTTTATTGTCCAGTTAACTTTAGCGACCTTTTTAAAAAATGGCACTGTAAATAAAACAACTTGCAAAAGTTTCCTAAAATAGAAAAAAGATAAAAATGATTAAATGCTGAAACTTTAATTGTTAAGTAACTCTAAGTTTACATGTTTTTGGCTTCTTAGTACAGAAAAACAAAGATATTTGGGTTGTTTAATAAAAATGTTTTATGCTAGGTTGAGGAAACACATTGCTAAAAATTATAAAATACATCAGTCAGTGAAAGAAACTACATTTCTAGAGGCTATAAAATATGTTTATGAATTTGCCAGTCTACTAAATGCTAATTGCTTACTTTTGGTTGTCACTAAAATTAAGGGGTTCTAAGGGTTAACATTCTAAATAACGTGGAAGAAATTAATATGTACTTTCAATAAGAAGTGGTATCAGGTATGGAGATATGTTCTCACTAAGAAAAGCAAAAATGATTTTGTCCTGGTTACGTCAGAATGGGAAAAGAGAAGGAAAGAATTTTAACTCTTACAGTTAAGCTGGCTAAAGTTATTTTTATAAAGGGTTTAAAAGAATTAGCTAAGCTTTAAAATCATTGGTATGCTTGTGCAAAGCTAAAACTTAATGTTATTTCTTTCCTAGAAGAACGAAATTTTCCTCTATTATTGGTATGCTCTTAGTAAAAAAATTACAAAAGGAAACATCTTATATTTTATTTAGATGATCTCGTGGACTCCGTACCATCAGGCCTGTAATGGCTTAAGTAAACTGAGACTTCCTAATATGAACGGAGCTGGATTTTGCTTGCAGCTGCTCAACTTTCTGTATTTGCCTGTGGAACTTTTGTTGCCAGGATTAAATAAATAACTTCAGTATCATTCCCCATTCACCTGTGCTTCCATCTGAACAGATGTTTTTAAACCGTTTATATGTTTGACAGGTTTTCCAAGACCAGATTCTAAATGAAGTCTTACTGACCAAGGGATAATTTTGGGATCTTCTGAAGCACCCTGAGCAACTCAGAGATGTGTTTCTCTCTTTACAAAAGGAGAAGGTTAAGCCAGTTAGGCTCATTCAGTGGCCAAATAGATGATGCTGAACATTTCATGATGTTTATGTAGATATGTTATTAATACAAATATTATAAAAATTATGTAAAATTCTCAAAATTCAATATGTCCTGGTAAAGTTATGTCTCTTATCCTATCTTTAAACTGTAAACATTCAGGAACTAACCAAAACATTGTCCACAGACACTGAAGAGAAAGAAAAAGTGGCCTTTTAAAAACACAAACTGCTATATAAGTTACCTTGCCAAAATTAATTTCTAAAAGAGTGATGTGCTTTTTGTTTGTTTGTTTTATAAAACTACTAAAAATAATAAGGGTGAGCCCAATGACTCTCCATGGAAAGCAGGACATGTGCTTTCAGCGGAAAAAGGTCCAGAGCAAGGACATGCTCTTCTCTCGAGGGAAAGAGAATCAACTGTACTTTTTGGATAAGGAAGAGTATAAAGACACAGGTATTTTTTCTGGTTAAGAAAGAAAAAGAAAAAAGAAATTTGCCTTAAAATAAAATGATCATTTAAAGGGAAAGGGTAGGATCAAAACTGAAAGGGGCAGGTATGTTGCAGAAGGTTTGTGGAGGGGTCTTGAGAAAGGTTTACACACACACAGTCAGTTTAACATGAGAATGTGTAACTACATCAGTTGCGTTCTTCACACATACGTATGTGACCTCATCAGATCTTTAACCATGGCTGTTTTTATGTCTTTTGTCATTTGCAGACAATTACTGTTTTACTCTGATACGTTGGTAAAAAATAACATTTTACCAATGTATTTCATTTTCAAAGAGTTTATACTTTTAAAAATGTGACACTGGATTGGGTAAAGATTTACAGAACTCTAAGAAAAAACTAAACTCCCAAAACTGCTCACAAGAAAATCAAGATCAGCAAGAACTAATAACATGGGAATGAATGCAATGATAAGGTCAATTATAATTTTTATGACTTTGATATGAAATATTAGTGGTTTTTGATCTTTATTTTCCAGATGTAAGAAAATGAAGCAGAAGACCTCTGCTGGGGACAGCTGGCTCAGGATTCTGGCCAGGCCAGTACAGTCTACACCTTCCTTTTCCTTTTGTCCTCACTTTAGTCCCTTCCTTTTTCACAAACAATATGCAAACCAAGCACTCACCATAACAGTTGCTGTTTCTTTTTCCCCCTTGATTTCACTCTGGGAAGATAACTTAACATTGGGCATCATCTTCACCCCTACTTCACAGGCCAAAACATGCAGCTCGTCATAAACACACACACACACACAGTCCAGCATGTTCCATGCTTGGTGGTGTTGGCCCCAGGGAGGGCACCAGGTTTGAGAAAACACTTTTGCCTTGGGCAACTATTGCAGCAACTACCACAGCAATACCCAACCAGAAAAATCTTTAAATTCCCATGCATGAGTAATATTAGAATTCC